GGGAAAACAAGTCCTCCTGTTTTGACTATCTAATCACACTTTTTTGACTAAAGTATTAAATAATGCCACATATCCTCTAAAAGCTGAAGAATTATTGATGAACATATATCCCTATAAGACCGAAAAATAATGTTACTTTACGGTTTGAAGCTTCTATTCAAAGAAAACAGCAACAAAAAATTATAAATTTTATCGATTAAATTTTGTGTCTCTTCTTATATGAATAAAATACTTTTCAAAAAATATATTAGTTTATTAAATCACCGTTTTTAGTTTATTTTATTTTTAAGGTGTACATCGCTCAGTAGTTCGATTAATTTGATGCTGTAATGAATCTAACGTTTCTTCAGAAATAGAATGGACGTATCGGCGACTTAAATTTATAGCTACCATAATGCAGCAAAGAAGAAGAGGACCAAAAATAGCTCCTTCAACCCCTAAACAAAAAATTCCTCCAGCTATTGATAAACCTGTTAAATACGGATGTCCTGCACTGTTTAACAAAAAAAAATAATCAAATAATAAATTTAATATAGTCAATACAAAATCAAGATTTTCTTAATAAATTTTCTCACCCCTTAATTTCCTTATAAAAATCAGTAATCACTATATTATAAGGCAAAAAATGAAACATGAAAAATAGAATAGAAACTATTGGTTTTCGAGTAAACCAGAGTTCAATTGTGGCAGGAATACAAGCTAAATATGCATCCAGAAATGGTACTGCTGCTAACATAGCAGCAAAGGCTGACGGTAAATAGATGATTTTTACATAAAATAAATTATGAATAAACCATGTCCACAAGCCAAAAAATGATGCTAGCTTAAAAGTTGCAGCGAAAACTTCAATGACAGCTTCTTGAAGTGCTACTGCAAACCTGTAAAATTTCAAAAATTGATTATATCATCACATGCTATAAATAGTATAATTACTAATTATTTGTAAAAGCTAATAGATTTCCATGGGGCTCGTTTTTGAAAGTTTTTTTTTTTTCAAGAACCTATAAAGATCTAGTTTGTAAAGCTATATAGCTTACATATGGGGCATTCCACGCCAAATCGGACGGTTTCAAAAATTTAAATTTTAGATGTTCTCAATTTTTTGGTATTTTTTAGTACCCCCCAAAAGAGGCCTCCTGATAAATTTTGAGATTTTTTTGATCGCTGGTTCAAAAAATATCGAATTTTCAAAAAAACCGCTCTTTTTTTGGTTTTTTGCTCGTAACTTTTTTAATAATGGTCGAAATTCAAAATTTTTGTTTTTAAATGCCCTTTTCAGAAAGAAATATAAAAAAAATATTCGAATTATTTTTCATTAAGATTTTTTAATTTTAAGTTTTTAATCGTGTTTTCCAAATTGAGTGCATCCGTCGATTTTTTTGAAAATTTGCTATTTTGAACTTCTATCCTTCCTTCAACTTTTAAGCCCGGTCCGGTAAAGGTCCTTACATAATTACTATTATTATTATGCTTTACTTGTACACCTCTCGGTTTTTACAAGGCTGATTCCTCTTTTTCTCCTAGCTCTACGCTTTTTCTATTTCTCGTATTGGACTTCAGCAAGTCCCACCCAACACTTCATTTTTACTTTTTAATTTTTGCGGCTGTGGCCCGACTTGTGCTTTCTGTACCGTATTCACCCTGAACCTCACCTCTCAGGCTGTTGGAACAGAATCATGGGGAAACCACAGAGAAAACCCATGATAGTACAGTCGGAGCTGGGCTAAGTCTACAGTGATTGATAAGAAACTCTTCTTTATCGACCACTGGAGCATTAGGTCCTCCTCCTAGTGTGCAGAGATCCCTCGAGCTAGCCAACGCTGACTAGAGTGGTCACCCAATTAAGTTGTAGCTTAATCGCCCAAGTCAGACGTGTGCCGCCCGGCTATCTCTGCCACTTCCAGAGGCTGGCAATGTAACGCACATATTTTTAATTATAATCACTAAAAAATAGTGGTGCGTGCCGGGATCGAACCCAGGTCCCACTCTTTCAAAAAGAGGGCACCGAGCCGACTAAGCTATTGCCCGCCTCCTTACATAATTACTATTTTTTATCGATTTTTAGAAAATTCTAAATTATTATCAGTATCGATTTTTTAAACTCTGTACTTGTTTTTTACTTATAATAAATTGATTTTGATATATTTTTGCCCCAAATAGGAATTTTAAAGAAATAAAGAAAGACTAATTTTATTTACGAGTAACTATTAACAACCGTTTTTATTTATTTTCGTGTTTTTGTAAATATTTTACATAAACGACCGTTTTGTAAACTTGAATACCCCTTAGTTATTATGTTTCCGTTGCTCCTGGGAATAACTGAATGAAAATTTTCAGTTCCTGCTATGGTCTTAGCGGTATTGTATCGCAAATCTAATCTTTTTTTTGCCTCAACATAGTCTCTTTCAGGAGAAAATTTGACAACAATATTTGGTCGACTTGTTGATCTCGACGCCCAGTTGTACAACTCTATTACTGTTGTTAATTATTTGGTCATCAAGTGGCCGTTGAAGGCTTGCTCTTGCTGCTTTTCTTTTTACCGTTCCTCCAATACAATCACATGACCCTTTACCGGGTGCTGTTGCGAAAAAATGCCACTCAGGATCTAAGTTAAAGTCTTCGTTGTGATAATAAATATTAACAAAATTCTTAAAGTTCTTCAATTGTTGTGGAGCTCTATCCGAAAAGTAAAAAACTTTAGCTGCATTGGGGTCCAATTCTTTCATAAAATCGGTAACAATCTTCGGAAACACATGAACGGCGACAGTGTCATGATTATTGTTATCAGATATGATGACTAAACTTCGGTGAATAAGTTCGCCGTTATGTTTGAAATAGATTACAACAGAAAAAATCGTTGCTTGATTATTGTTCCAATGAAACTCTGGGTCTGCATCTTGTATCACAAAAGCATAATTCTCTGCAAAATCGCAAATGGCTATGAACTCATGATCTTGCAACGATTGTTTTGTTTTTGTTTCAAAAAATCCGATTGTTCTTTAGCAACAAAATCATGCGGTAATAAATTTTTTATATGATCAGAGAATATTTCGACAAATTCTGTAGTTTTTTTATACATAATAATAATAATAATAATAATAATAATAATAATAATAATAATAATAATAATAATAATAATAATAATAATAATAATAACTAAGGAGTATTCAAGTTTACGAAACGGTCGCTTATGTAAAATATTTACAAAAACACGAAAATAAATAAAAACGGTTGTTAATAGTTACTCGTGAATAAAATTAGTTTTTCTTTATTTCTTTAAAATTCCTATTTGGGGCAAAAATATATCAAAATCAATTTATTATAAGTAAAAAACAAGTACAGAGTTTAAAAAATCGATACTGATAATAATTTAGAATTTTCTAAAAATCGATAAAAAATAGTAATTATGTAAGGACCTTTACCGGACCGGGCTTAAAAGTTGAAGGAAGGATAGAAGTTCAAAATAGCAAATTTTCAAAAAAATCGACGGATGCACTCAATTTGGAAAACACGATTAAAAACTTAAAATTAAAAAATCTTAATGAAAAATAATTCGAATATTTTTTTTATATTTCTTTCTGAAAAGGGCATTTAAAAACAAAAATTTTGAAAAAAAAATTTTGAATTTCGACCATTATTAAAAAAGTTACGAACAAAAAACCAAAAAAAGAGCGGTTTTTTTGAAAATTCGATATTTTTTGAACCAGTGATCAAAAAAATCTCAAAATTTATCAGGAGGCCTCTTTTGGGGGGTACTAAAAAATACCAAAAAATTGAGAATATCTAAAATTTAAATTTTTGAAACCGTTCGATTTGGCGTGGAATGCCTCATATGTAAGAGAAATAAAAATGGAATTTTAAAAACATCTTTTTAATAAACATATTTTTATTGAACGCATTATTGAGAATTATTTTCAAAATGATACCGGCTCTGAGAACTATTACAGTTACATCATTCAAAAAATTGTATCAAATTAAAATGACATAACGTATATTATGTCACAAGAAAAAGTAGTTATTAGGCAACATTTTATCTTGAATTTTATATTATTGATTAATGTTAAATAAATATCAAACAAACAAATAACTAAAATTGTATTAATCCGTGTAGTGAAAACAAATGTGGATAGAAACTTTTGGTTTTTAAATATTTAAAAATATTCAACAACGAAATGTCAATTTATCTTACTTAATTTATTCTCGAAATAAAAATAATATTGGATTGTAAACTTTTTTTGAAATTTCTGACAAAGATTTATTTAGTTGTTTCAATGGTTATTCGTAAAAAAAATTAAAAATTATTTTTTTTTTTAATTTCAACTTACTAAAATTGATACTTTTTAAAGGAAAAAAAATTTTTTTTTAGATAATTACTATTTTAAATTGCGTTAAAATTGGTAACACAGAAGTCGTCGAGCAATTTGCAAGAGAATATTTAATAAATTAGAGTACAGTGCTCCCTCCCTAAGATATTTTAGCTGTTTCTTAATTTCTTCATTGGTTACTAACAAGAGAAAAAAAGTTAACCTGTTATATCTTAAGAAAGGAGCATTGTAGATTTATTTTTTTAGTACTTTCAAAAAGAAAATTTAAAATTATTTTTCATAAATAAAATGTAACAAAAACTCTATAAGTGATTTTTTTTTTATGAAAATACCGATGAAAAAAATAGATTACGATTATTTAATGGCATAAATTTTAAGTATAGAAAATGAAATAAAATTTTACTATTGTAGAATTCGCGCATAAAAAAAAAAACTGTTTGCGATAATCAAATTTAAATAGATCTAAATTTAATTATAAATTATCATTGAGTCCTACAATAATCTTGATTTGTTGATTACTAACTTGGAAAGTTGGAGATGTTGAAGCAAACTATTTCAATTCCTTATAATAATTTATTTGATTATGTAATTACTTTATCTACAATATACTTTAGACAATTATTTACATTATTCTAAAAAAATATTTATACAATATAACAACAACAGCAATAATCCGTCAGAAGAACTGATTACTTAACAGTAATTAATGATCATTTAATAATATTGCGTAATCTTAATTCCATGGATAAAAAAGCACGCATATTTGAATCCGAAACTTTTTCCATAATTATTTTCTGTACATCATCACTGCTGTTAGTTAAAGTTTCACTTAATTTCTCAGCGTATTGTATCCAAACGCAGTTTGTACATCCAGACATACAACAATTAACCGGTTCAACAAAGTCATCGGCTTGGTCAGTTGGATTTGATGAATTATTATCGACGCTCTCAACTGGATCAGAATTTATATCTTGTTCAGTAACCATAGGTCTTTTTATTAATTTATTTTTATCACTGTCATTGACAGTATTATTAGTACTGAACTTTTTCTTACTTATAAATATTGTCCAACAGCATCCACTATTATTTTCTATAATAAACGGTATAATTCGTGATACTTTTGACATTTTATAATCACTTAGTCAATAGTAGTATCAAAATTATCCATTGTCTAAATAAATAATTATAGTTTTTGTCTTTATACTCTAGATTATCATTATTTATAACTTACTTTTATTGCACAAACTAATGTCAATAATAAGATCACTTCTGATCAAAACAACAACAGTCTGTTGCTATAAATTATTTACAATAAACACTATACCGCCACATAATCCTTAATTTAATTGTTTTATTGTTTATTGTTGATGTTTTTCAACTTAACTAAATAATATTAATAGTTTGCGTACATAATAAACAGCTGATATTTTCTTGTCATTTTTTAGTTTACATTTTTCGATATTGAGGGCAGCACCTTATGTCTATTCTTAAAAATTTCAATTACTTATTTCTCTTTTATTGTGGAAAAAAAAAAAAAAAAACACAGAAAAGCTTTGAATTACGTTGTTAATTTTAAACTATTTTTTATGTGGGTTAAAGTGTCACTATATAGTTTATTTTTCTAAATTGAACTTTAAATAAATAATAATATATAATTATTTTTTTGTTTATCTAAGAGCAACTCAGTGCATAACCTATAATTAACAGTGTGTCATTGTGTAGCACGTGGTCATTGTTGTTACAGTTAAAAAAATTTTTATTATAATATCATGGGTAGAAAAATTCCAGGAAAAAAACATAAAGGTACTAAGGATCCGGAAAAGCAACGTGCAAAACGATGGGCTGAGTATGAGAAAAGTTTTACTAAGATATTTACTCGTATTTGATGAAAATTAAGTTAGCCGACATTTAAAAATTTTTAGAATTTTTTTTTATTGTAAAAATCATTACAAAAAAATTTTAAAAAAATCTCACTTGTAAAAAACTTAAAAAACTGTAAGTGAAATTTTTTAAAAATATTTTTCTGTTTTAATTTAATTAATAATAAAAAAATCAAATAATTAAAAACGTCGGCTAACTTTAGTATCATCGTATTTGTTATTGAAAATTAAATTAGCCGACACCTAAAAATTTTTGTAATTTTTTTTTATTGAAAAAACTATTAAAAAAAAACATTAAAAGAAAGAATTTTTACTTGTAATTTAATTGATAAAAATAAATAAATGAAAGATTGTTGAATGTCAGCTAATTTTAATATCATGCATTTATTTATTTAATTAATAATTTTTTGTAGAATTAAGGATAAAGTTGATGCTCCACCAACTAATGTTGAAGATCAGCCGATACCAAAAAGTTTAGAGCGAATGATAAACTTGAAAAATAATATGAAAAATCGAAAAAAGTTATCTGGAGAAAAAAGTAATAAAGAAAAGAAAAATAAATTGATAACAGTGGGCTTAGAAAGTAATAGACAAGTATTGGATCCAAAAGCTAAACCAGAAAAAGTAGTCCCAGTTTTTAGCCAAAGGCCTGGTGAACCAGATTATAAATTTTTGCATCGTGTTAACGGCGAGACAATAAATTATTTAAAGGAAGCAGAGTTTGAAAATAAATTTAATGTGCAAATAGTTAGAAATCCAGAGACTGGTAGACCTGAAGGCTTACAAAAAAAACCAAAAGACGAGATTGATGAGTTACTTAGGCTTAAAATGAAGCATAAAAATATTGGAAAGAAAAAAAAAGTTAAATCGATAACAGAACCTAAGTTAACTAAAGTTCAAAAACGTAAGATCAAACTACAAGAAAAGAAAGCGAAAAAATTGAGTAATAATGCTGATGATTTTAATATTTACAAAGATAAAGTTGAATTCGGTGAAGTTGCTCATGCTCCACCAGAATTGAATGTAAAACCTTCCAAAGCAGATAAAGTAGTTAAGGTGAGTAGAGGATAAATTAAAATTCTTTATTTTTTTTTTTAAATATTACATTAATACTGAATAATTTTTTTTCATTTTTTTACAGCCCGCCAAGAAAGAATTACTTTTACATTCATTACTTAATAATAAAAGTGATAAAGCACAGCCTAAGTCGATAGATAAAACAGGTAAACGAAAAAATCTACCTTCTGCCGAGAGAAGGATTCTTGAGAAGCATCAAAGTGAAGTAATAGAAGCCTATAAATTACTTAAAACTCGTAATAAATCCTCTGGCATGTCTTCGTTACAAGAATAATAACAGTAATAATACAAAAATTTTGGAAAGTTTTCGTTTTATTTTACCTTACAGTAAATTATTTTCAATAGCAAGCTTGATAATAACAAAATTGACGTTTCATTTAAAATTATATTAAGAGGATAGTTAATAAAAGAAATTAAATAAGAAGGTAAGTAGTGTAAAATAATATTTAATGTATTTTATTATCCAGTTGTCCAAACAAAAGGTTCTAAACGATCTTTGATAGGTAATAAATTATTGAGTGTCTCGAGACTTTCTAATGTTTGATTTAATTGCATATGGCACTTGGTTAATTGTTTACTAAGTTCATGAACTTTGTTCATGTGTTCTGCAAATTTGGCAAATTTTTTTTGCCGTTCAACTGCTTGTGTCATTATTTTATTTATTTCAATATCAATATTAACGCAGAGTGAATTTTGTTCATTAGCAATCATTTGCGCATTTGCATTTAAATGATGTTGATATCTAGCACATAAATTATATAATCCAACAGGATCAAGTCGCTCTAATATTTCAGGATCGCGTACTCCTGGTGGTAAATTAAGAGTGCCGCGCATTATCGGTAGAAACATTGGTATACTTTGTAATTTAATTAAGTCTGGATCCTTATCTGTATCAGGATCACTTATTGCTGGTTTTACAACGACAATATTGTGTGCTGTTGTTGACGTTGATTTCACCGAGTTAACGGCAGTTTTTCTCAAACCTAAACTAGATTTACGTCTTGTTACTTCTGAGCTACCAAAACTTTTTCCTCTTATTAGCGATGGTTTATTTGATATCTTTGGAGAGTCACCAATCGGTTGATTAACGGTATAAGATATGTAAGGCAAATCCGAATCAGAACAAATACTAGGTCCTGGACTCGATGAACGTGGCGTTGTGTCATCAGGTAAATGCTCACGGCTGGGTACACTTTTACCACGTCTCAGTTGTCCTCGAGATTGTCCGCTAAATCGTCCATGAGTTCCATGAGCTCCTTGTGAACTTTGTTCTGAGCCCATTTTTTATTTTTATCTTACTTCACACTGACAGTAATATTATTTAAATGGCAATGCGGAGTAAAAAATCACGTTAATGCGTACTTATTTTTTTTTTTTTTTATAAGAAATTCTTGAAAAATTAGTATAATTATTATTTGAATATTTAAATCTGCAAATTAAATTTTGATTAGAATGTTTTTAATTACATTATGTTATTGTAACTTAATTTTTAAACTTACTTTTACTTAATCAAATATTGATTATAAATTTTATTTTGGAGTTAACAGCGATAAGAATGTTATCTTTTGTTAATTAATTTTATGTTTTTTTTAATTAAACGTAATGATTAAATATAATTTTGTTTTTTTTTTTTTTTTTTTATGATTCAAATGAATTACAAACTTAGGTTGGGTATTGTTTATAATTCAGCTGAGTACTCTAAATAAATTTTTCATATTTGTACGCATGCGCATGTTCTTATTACATGCGCACGCACATTGATATTTTTTTTTAATTACAAAGCAAAGAATAATTTTTGAATAGGCCATCATAATAATAATCGAGATAATATTTTTTATTGACGTCTTTAATTAGAAACAATAGTTATTGATTTAAGGTAGTGTATTTTTAAATGAAAAAATTCTTTTATCAATTTTATCAATATAACTGAAATGGATATATTTTTATATTTTTAAAAAGTTTCCATTACAGTGTTGTTTTATTTTAAAAATTATATTTTTAGATCAATAAAATAAATCACATGTTCAAAATATTTAATTTATAAAGTTATTTTTTTAGCTGTAAAATATTAAATAAAAAAAAAATATGAAAGAAATAAATTTCCATATGTAAAATATTATTACTTTTAATTATAACCAATTGCGTCATGTTTGTTAAATATAAATGAGAGAATATTTAAAAAAATGCAAATAAATAAGTGATGTGACACTTATATAACAAATAGAATTACCATTAGACCCGAACAATGTATATATTTTAACAATCGTACATATTACACGTAATGAATGCTAGAATACATTCAAAATTGAACAATTTTTAAAATCATCATCATAAATATAATTTACATATTTATACTATTTCTTTGTACCATTTGTACGATTTGTCTATAATAGTCTATACGAACATTAATGAACTTTTATAGCTTGGACAAAATGTTCAGAGCTACGTGGCAATTTAGGTACATTGAGTTGATTAAAAACGTCAAGTAGGTCTTGTACGAATTTATCAATCATTTCTGGTGAATGTTTCGGCGTAGGTGCGATCCGTAGTTTTTCTTCACCCTTTGCAACAGTTGGATAATTAATGGCTTGAATATAATGCCCTTTATTTTTCAGCAGTGCATCAGCTATTTGACTACAGACTAGTGGATCTCCAACCTGAGTAAAAAAAAATTTTTTTTTAATATCAAGTACTAGTCATTTATAATAAAAATTTTTTAAAAGCATAAATTACCTTAACTGGAATGATATGAGACGGTGATTGTTGTAAAGGAAGACCAGCAGAAGTAAGCGTTGATTTCAAATAAGCGACGTTTTGCTGTTGCATTTCTCTGAGAGCTCGACCTTCATCAGATGCTAAAATTTCAACAGCAGCCAGCGCGCCATAGAGTACCGTAGGAGGGAGTGAAGTTGTAAAAATAAACCCAGCAGCATAACTTCTTATCATATCAATAAGCGTAGAGGAGCCTACAATATAGCCACCAACATTCCCAAAAGCTTTACCCAGTGTACCCGATATTATATCCATTTTATGAAGTACCCGGTCACGTTCTCCGATGCCAGCACCAGAGTAACCATACAACCCAACAGCATGTACTTCATCAATGAATGTTATAGCTCCATATTTTTTAGCAATATCACACATCTCTTCTAATGGACATATACTTCCATCCATGGAATGTACTGTTTCAAATGCTACTATTTTAGGCAATGAACGATCAATACTAGACAACATTTCTTCAAGATGTCTTACGTCGTTATGTCGAAATATATGCTTAGGAACACCACTATTTTTAATACCTTGTATCATGGAAGCGTGATTACCAGAATCTGAAAATATATGGCAACCTGGGAGACTTTTAGCTAGGGTAAATAGTGTTGAATCATTAGCTACGAAGCACGAGGTAAAGAGAAGACCAGCCTCTTTTTGATGCAAATCGGCAAGTCGTTTCTCCAACATTTCATGGCCCATTGAATTACCGGAAATATTTCTCGTACCACCGGCACCGGCTCCAAATTTATCCAATGCTTTACGTACAGACCCTGTAACCGCAGGATGACGGGACATTCCTAAATAATCGTTTGAACACCAAACAGTTATTGGTTTTTCACCCCAAGAGTACTCCATCGCTGTAGGAAACTCTTGAGCAAGACGATTTACTTTCTTAAATACCCGGTAAGAATGGTCCTTCTTTTTCTTAACTATTTGCTCATGAAAATATTCTTCATAAGGAAATGACTTTTCTTCATTTTTAGAATCACCTAGACTAATGATGTCCTCTTCAACTGCTGAACTTGCTTCTTTTACTGCATCGGGTTCTTTTAAAAGGAATGGACATTGCTTAATTGCTGGTTTAACCTTGGCAGTTTCGGTTTCAGTGTCCGCTAATGTGCTTGACAATCTCGACATAACTGGACAGTACTGTCGGTAATTAGTTATCAATAAAGCGCTATAATTACGTACGTAATTAGCGGATAGACGTGTCAAAAACGGGCACGGCATTACGTCAGCTTTTCCTAAAAATAATTTTTGACTAAACAATAAATTATTATAATACTAAGATATGATAGGTCCATATATAAGTATTGTATGATTGCAAAATAATAAGGAATGAGGTCTAACTACAGCTGGATAATATTTAAGAGAAAGTAAGGTAAAAAAATGAAAGTCAATCTGTTTATGGTTTTTATGTTTATAATAATTGAAAATTAATTTACCTTTTACAGCGCCTGCTAAATGATAAGTTACTTGAATGAATCCTTGACGTATCAACTGCAATTCGAATAAAAATATATCTATGTATGTTTTTTTATATTTAATTGTTTTTTAAATAATTATTTATTGAGGTCAGGTTAATGGCTTACGGCCAACTGGTCAAGTCTCTTTAACTATGATGTCAGGTAAAGATTGGAGAGTATAGTCAGGTGTTTGTTGCTTAAAACGTCTTTCAGTTTATATACACATGTAGGCATTTATATACCTACATTGTACTACTCAAGGTGAAAATGTTGACTATGCGGTCATTCGAGAGATCGATTATTTCATAAATCGACTTATTATTATTCAAATATTTCTCTAGCAAGATAGCTTGATTTTAGCTGACCCATCATTACGGTGCATTAATTTAATATCCAATTTTTTTTTAACAGCAATTTTTTGCTTGTTGTATAACATGAATTATAAAATAAAAATGAAGTTAGCCGACATTTCAAAATTTTTAGAGATTTTTTATTGAAAAAAAAAATTGTCATATTAAAAAATTACGAATATTGTTGTAGTAGACGTCCGGCAAGTTTTTATAAGTTCATAATTTATTTACTTACTTCAAAAATAATATTATAAAAAAATCTAATTAGAAAGATTTTTTAAAAACTATTTCTAAGCAATTTTTTAGATTTATTTTTCCAATTATTGAATTTAAAATTTCTTCAAAATTTTCAAAAATTAATTGTCTATTTTTAGAATAATTTATTTATAATCTAGGATTATCAATAACAATAAATTAAAATGATCTGATCAATGAGGTGACATTGCAATTATTAATTTAAAAATATCAATATTATTTTATGAATTACATAAAAAAAATTGATATTCAAATTTAATACAATTGAAAATTATAATGAAATAAAAAAATTACCATTTTGATAGGCGAATAATTTAAGTATATTTCCAAATAATATTAATAATGTTATATAATAAATTTGATTTATTGTACTGTTTGGCGAATCAATCACTACTGATTTCTTGTATACTTTCAACCACACTACCTTTGGTGAATGCAATTCGAATGCGATTATTCAAATCGAGCGGAAGAGAGGGTTTGATCAACTTATATAGAAAGTAATCACAACGGATAAATATATACTCACTTGCAAACGACATTCATGATGCGGGCTAATTAAATATTCAATATCATTTCAAAATTATAAAATTAACAAATACGAAACAATATGAATTAATAATAATCTAAGTGGCTTATGCTTGGGTGACAATTATTCATACACGCATGTCATGCGTCATTTACATAAGTAAATTTCAGTCTGTAATTTACTTTTTTTTTTTTATTTATTTAATTTATATGCCAAGGCATAATATTTTTAATTTCCTGTGTGAACAAACACCCGAAGTGCCATTAATAATTTGTAAATTATTAAAAAACATTTAATGTATCACATTATTTTTTATTATTTTCAAATCATATAATATGGTATACTTTTTTTTAAATAAAAAAAATTGATTTGAAAAATTTAAAAACGAGTAAATTAATTCAAATAATTACAATGGAGAAAATTGCTTCATGGAATTTTTATTTTCAAATTCACGTCAAATGGCAAATATGCCCAGTTAGCACAAGCGAAACGAAGTTCACGTAAACCTGCGGCCGGAATTTGACGTAAAGTTTACGCTAACAGTAGAGCAACAGTTATACTTACAACAATTGACGTGAAGTTAACGTTAACTTTCTGCAACTTTGCGTTAACTTTGAGCGAACCTTTCGGAAAATTTCGGCAATAGATTTACGCTAACTTGATGTGTAAGTTAAAGTCAAGTTCTGGGAAACTGTTGCAAATGCAGAGGTTGACGTGAAGTTAACATAAAGTTGACGTAAAACTATTGAACATCAACTAGTTGATGGTCAACCTGTGCTATAACTGGGTGGTTTTTTTTTTTTTTTGGAAATCTTCATTACCTATTATAAGGAAAATATGTGTTTATAGTTTATGATATTACCATCTGAGAACATGAAAATAATATAGACGTCAAAACACCGGAAGGAAGTTAGCGTAGAATAATTTTTTTTTTAATTAAATCATATGTCAATTAATTGCTCTTTAAATGCTCTATTAGAATCCGTAATTGCTCCAGGTCTATTACTATTAGTTAATTTTTAATTAATTTTTCAAAAATTTTTTTTTTGAAAATTTAATTTTGCTATAAAACCTAAAATATTCACTTTTTCAAAAATTTTTTTTTCTCAAACAATTGCTCTCAATTTGCTCTACTAATTAAAAAAAAAAAATATTATAATTTTGCATTATTTATAATAATTGATATAAAAAAATTATTTGCATGCAAATCGTAGCACTATGACGTCATCAGTGGTCGTTGAATCCACTAAGAGCTGTTTCCATGAATCCTCATTACGGCAATTTAATTTTGCCTTAATGTTTACACTTTAGTTTTAAGGTTATATAGTCGTATTATTATTAATTTATTATGTACTTAAAAAATAATATTGATTATTAATTTTGAATATAATGATAATAACATGATAATTATACATAATTACTCCTGCTCAAAAATAAAAAATCGTCGGTTTCATATTAATTAAATTATTGTTATTAATACCGTTGTCAGCGATCTATTGAAGGTAGTGATATATTTGTTCACATATTAATGACATGTGGCAGTATCAAGTTGACAATAATCCATTAAATATTACAGGTATGTTATATTTAAGTATGGTATTAATATTTTTAAAATAACAACTTTTAATCTACAATTATTAGAAATTAACAATAAATTTATTTAGTATATGGGCCAGCAACACTTAGTTCATAATTACAAATTTTATTTTCAGATCGTAAAAAATTGTTACCTGCGAGATGATATTTGGCGTGGATCTAAAGTCAATAAATTTTTTTCTTGAACCTGAAGATGAAAAATAAGAGATCGAGGGCTTACTAAGTTATGGGTCATACTATTTAATATATGACATAGATATTCTTCTCGATCATGTAAGTATATTTTTTTCTCGTTGATTTCATGAAAAGCTTTCATTGAATTTTAAATTAATTTTGATTTTATTAGAATTGAATTTTCAGGAAAAATATTTACTTTTCAACGTAACAATCCTCTAAGCTGTTTTTGAAAAAATGAAGCACTGCAATCTCAATGTTTACCAAAAATTGGAATCGACACCTTCATCGAACGATTACTTGGTGAAAAAATAAATAATGGCAATGATAGAGCTATCAGGACAGCCTATCAATATTAGAAACGTTCCTTGGAGCAAGCTAAACATATAAATATCAATATTATTTTGTGTATACTAATAATAATGTTAGTTTGACTAAGGCACGGAATGATGGAAGTGTATCCTCTTCAAGTCATTTTGATTACTTATTTGAAAAAAGAATTCACAAGTAAAGAATATGTTTGATCGTTAGAATTCTCTGGAGGTGATAAATTGTGTGAAAAAATTATTAAATTGTTGACATTGAAGAAGTCGAAAATTGGATGTTATTGAATTTAACAGACATCTAAGAATTTTTTAGATTTTTACAATATTAAAATTATAATAAAAAACATTTAGCTAAAATATTCGACATGTAGAAATTTTAGAGAATTATAAGCGAATTTTTATAACATTTTTTTTATAATAATTGATTGGTTGTAAAAATTCAATGAATTATCAAATGTCTGATAATTTCAGCACCATAAAAATTGGTATGTTTTATTTTTCTATTCATTAATTTTAATATAAAATTCAAATAATTTATTGATTAATTAATTTAATTGAACAGATCTTCGTGCAAGGAAAAGCCGGATTAAATAGAACAATTGATGGAGACATTTTTGCTGTTGATTTATTATTAGAATTAGAATGATCAGTACTAAATTAAATAATTTTGTATGCTGAAACTGATCATGAAGATCCAGATGATTTGTTATTAATTGAAGTTGAGTGCAAATGTCCATAAATAATTCTAACACATTAAAATTTAATTAAAACCAGAATGTGAAGAGCATTTTTTTATGCCAGTTGAAAGCCGTTTTCACAGAGTTTTGTCAAAATTTTATAGTTTTCTAGAAGTTCTCAGATTCTCGATATAATTTTTATGAATTTTGAAAATACACTTTTAAATTATTTTAATTCGTGGAGATTAAATATTGAAAAATATATGTAAGATTACAATTATGATTGAGCATTGACAGTTAACTAAATTTTTGGATTTTTATAATCATTATTTTCATTACCGGTCATTCATTGGTGGGCGGTCACGGACTGGACGGTTTACCCTAATGACCTCTATGATATTTTAATGATATTTTGAGCCAATATGTGATATGTGGGGCATAATGGACCACTCGTGAAAAAAAATTGTATCGAAAAAATTATTTTTTTTTTCGAATTGTTAGAAATTTAAAGAATTAATTTTTTTAAGCCTTTTCAGGTCAATGGTATCTGGTATTTATCTGAGGTAAAATGGATTAGGAAAAAATTTTGTTGAACTGAAAAATTTAACAAAAAATTAAATTCTATAGCTTGTAAAAAATTGAAGACAGTTTTTTGAAATTAAAACAGTAATTTTATTATATTATTAATTATCGATCACGGTATCCTCTGCGTCAGGCAGAAACCCAATCTCAAAGTCCTATTTGAGTTGCTCCAAAGATGTCTTACTCTACGCAATTCATATTTCTGATTTTGGCTTGAAGAAAATGAAAAAAAAAAAAAGACCTGGTTCAAGATATTACGTACTTTAAAAGCTCAGTCTGAAGACTTAAGATGTGATTTTAATTAATGTAAATTAATGTAACTAATGAATTGCTGAATACCATCTCTGTTTTTTTTTCTTGTGCGTAGGTTTAAAACCTTCAAGTGCAATAAAAGAAATTAATTATTATCTGTTTAATACTTATTAATAGCTTAACAATAAAATTTATGATAATTTTTTAAAAACGTTATCAAAAATTCAACTTTGAATAAAACATGAATTATAAATTTTCGATAATTTTGAAATCACATCGAGATAATTTAATATCGA